ATAAGGCGAATAAGATGGTCGCCATGGTGGATGGAGATCATGCATGTTCCAGCTATCTGATCCAGCATGCTGAGGGAGGATGACAGGCTGGGATAGGATTTCACATAAACTGCCATTATTATTGCTTTTCCATGAGCTCTTAGTAAGCCTGTGCTGTCCTATGTCTTTCAGAAAAATAAAACGTGCTGTCAGCCACTGTCCGAGAAAACAAATATTTATCTCAAAGGATTTAAGTGCTTAGCATTTAAAATATAAAAATTGTCGCTCAGTGTGACACATTGATTGTCTGTCAACTAAATATTCATCAACAGCCTGTGCTTCTAAAATATAAATGCTTTTCATTTACTATCAATAACAGTGGACAGTTAATTGTAAGTCCCAATCACCCACCTGCATAACATTTCCACCTACACATTACCTATATACAACCAAGCCGTGTCTATAAACTATTCTTTTCCCCTCACTACCTGCCAAATCTCATTTCTGTATAACTCGGCTGAGCGGGCATGCTTGTGATTGGCTGGGCCAAATCTCATTTCTGTATAACTCGGCTGAGCGGGCATGCTTGTGATTGGCTGGGCCAAATCTCATTTCTGTATAACTCGGCTGAGCGGGCATGCTTGTGATTGGCTGGGCCAAATCTCATTTCTGTATAACTCGGCTGAGCGTGCATGCTTGTGATTGGCTGGTCCAAATTTTATGTAAAGCTATAAGGCCCCTTTCTCACCTTGGGCACGCATCAGAACGCAAAACGACAAATGTGTCATAGGAACACATTTGAATCAACAAGCCCATTCACATCTATGCACTGCGGTGCTCTGCGTTTTGGAAAGTGAGACATGTCTATTTTTTTGTACATTTTCATGCACTGTGAGGCCCATAGAAGTCTATAGCGTTGCACAAAAACACACGTATAGTGAGTTTTGATGCATTTTCATACATTTCTAGCCCCTGGCAAAAAGCTGTACGAAGTACAAGGAGACAGTGACGATTTTGTAGAGTATGATCATCTGAGGTTACCTTATTAGGGCTCATTACACATGTAAATTGTAATTACCTACTTATTGCCCCCCTGTCAGTGAACCGCAGGTACTCCAATAGAACTTAATGGCTGTACAAGGGGATGTGCCAGTACTTGCATACAGCTGCATATGGATGCACATGTAAATCCATGGAAACAGAATAGCTGCAGGAGTTTAGGTCCACATGAATACACATGTACCAACATATACCCATGTACAACCATTGACTTCTATGAGAGGCTGTAGGCAGTACCAGAGGCTCCCCAGGGGTGTAAAAATGCTGTTTATTACATTGTACGGGCTCAGCCGCCAGGGGTATGAGCCTTTATAGACATCCGGGTGTATGAGAAGAATTTATCATCATGTTCTCTGAGGTCATTATACAAGCAATCGCTATGTGAATCCAGTATCTGCGCCTGTTATGTCGCCTCCCTTCCTCATGTTCAACAAAGAAGGTGCAAATATGGACATTGTTATCAGATTCCTCAACACAAGGCACAGAAATCTAGACAGTGGGATCTTCCCAAAGTCCACAACAATATGGAGACCAGCGAGGGCAGGTCAAACCAAATACACACGATGCATGAACATGTATATTATTGAATCAAAAACGCACCATAATGCATAAGGAAAACACATGTAATAGAGCTACAATGCATGGTAAAAATGCTCCAAAAAATGGACAAAAGTCTACATTGACAAGGACATTAATCATCTGAGCACGCTGGCTTGTGATTGGCTGGGTATTGCATGCAAAATCTAATTTCTGTATATATGTAATTCCCAACTAAGCTGAGCATGTTGGGTTGTGATTGGCTGGCCTTTAATCTTCTACTTCCCTTCTTAAAGGTACACTCCAGTCATACTGAGCCTCCTAGTTCACACCGACATTTGCTGGACTGAGAAGCTTTGTGTATAGGTTGTAATTAAAGGATAAGTACAGTTTTAGAAAAAAAAAACTGATCATCATCATTTAGCCCAGTATCAGCACAGACCTCAGATACAGACCAGTTGATCGGTTTGCAGCTAGGAGCGGTATTTGTCATTTACAGATCCCAGATATAGAGGACAATAACCATTGCATGTGCTGTGGGTAGTCATTATATCTTTTATAGAGGAGAAGGGAATTATGGGATATTGTTTTCTGTAAGACGGCATTTATCCTTGAAAAAACATCAAGTTGCTTTCCCCAAAAGCTTTTGAATGGGGCCCATGGTGACAGAACACAAAAGCAATCATATGGCTTTAATAGGCTTTATTGTATGTGCTGATTGTTGAATCTTAATGATGTATCTCTGCTGAGGTATTAAAACATAAAGCCAAACTCCAGGCAGATATAATTACACACAAAAAAGCCCCACAAATAATGAAGTGATATAAAAGACGCCCTTAAATGTATTACATTTTTTAATTGCAGCTTGTGTGGGCTCCTGTCCAGCCTCCTGTAAGCAGTACTGGGAGAGGAAGGGGCAGCAATAGAGAACAATCATGTGCTCACAGGTAATATGCTGACAGGAGGGGAGAGCAAAATTAAAACTGAATTCCAGGGAAAACTAAAAATAACATCGAAGTGGGGCTCCCCCCGCATTGCAGTGGTTAATACTCATGTATACCTAGGGTATCAGTAAAAAGGACTTTTACCTAATTTCTCGCTCCCCGCAGGCTACCTCCACACTAAGACCAGCCCCTGCAGCCTTTTCTTTAAGGCGCTCTGGTGGTTGTAGGTACTTTAACATCAATAGCACTGAATTTTACGTGAGGACATCAAGGGGCTGCCCATAACCTGGAGCATTAGTGAAGAGTGCTGGCTGCCAGAGGAGCAAGGGATCAGGTAAGTAAAAGTCCTTTTTGGTACCTTAAGCATTCATGATCATGCTGTGCTGTCGATCTGATCAATGATCTGGCTGTTCTATCTTCAGGGGTGAAGATACAGCCAATTAAAGCCATATATCATTGATTTTGTTATCTCCATGACTTCACCAAAGACTATTTAGGGCCATTGTTGGAATGTTGAATACAGATCTTAATGTGTGTGCTGACTGTAGCTTTAAGATAGCACTTGGCAGACTTCAGCAAGATTTTTTTCCACAAGTTTCAAGCATTGCTAAAATGGCTTCCAAAAGCTGTTTGAAGCTTGTAGACAGCTTTTTAAAAATGTCTGAATCTGATACTCGTCACAGTAATGCCAATAGTTGAATAAAAAACAATGTATGTGCGTATGAGGCCGTTAGGAAGAGGATATAGTTTGACATTTTGTTCAATTAATTGTAATATTGGGTGAGTGGAGATACCCTTTAAGCTTGCCACTATATTAAAATGTCTCCTTTACTCTTAGCCATCTATAGACTTTGCACCTTTCAGTTAACAGTAATCTTCACTTTCTTCTACCTATCTTATATCATCAATCAGTTGAGAACCTAAAGTGTATTTTGGGTGGAGCCACCATCTGAATGATAATGGGGCACCTCCCGATGTATGTTACCACGCTCTAGATCCTAAAAACTGAAGTTCCACATTTCCAGACCCTAAAAACTGAGCTTGCTCTATTATACTATCAGTGACCCTCCCTTCCTGCTCCACTTGCTTACCTGCTGCCCACAAAGTCAGCTAGATGGCTTCAAAAGCCAAGAGTTCAGGTTAAGTGGAGGAGGATCAGGTGGGCCACAGTGTGACCAGTATAGCTGAGTGTTTAATAGAAGGGCCCAGACCACTCTGAAAAATAACTGAGGGCCCATGCAAGCACCCAAAGTCACCTGCCTGATCTTCCTCATGTTGGTTTCGTAAGACACTGGAGTCCACATGTATGCTTTACCTTTTAAATAACAAGCTATTGAAATTGTTAAATGCAACTAACTAAAACATTTAACTACTCCATTTTAGAGGGAGAATAGCTAATATGCACTAATATGCAGTACAGAGCCTGGCAATCCACCACTACATCACTATGCAAGCCATTTAACAACTTATTTCAACTAACATACATTTCCATTTCAGCCTGTAGCAAGTCATACTTTCCTACACTGTAAATATACCTTACTTGCAAACATGGCAACAGTTTTCAGTTCATACATAGGATTTCCTGGAATTTTCATTCCCCTGCTTATGTATCTGGTTCACTGTGCTTCCCAGAAAGCCTGCACGAAGCTTGAGGTCAAATTACAGTCATCCACTGCACTACCCTTCACTAAGAATTCCATCTGTTGTCAGATACTTGCAAAGGTGCTTCATGTCTAAATCGATATAATGCTTCTTATTGCTTCACAGGGGTTGATCATGTAATTATAGTATGGATAACCTTCCATTACTTTTAGCAGCGCATGCACATTGCCTATTTCAGTTCATTAGAAAAAAAGAGACCATAGGAATATACAATTAAATTTTTGCAACTTATATAGCTGAAGTAGTCTTTTTATACAAGACTATTAAAAAAAATCAACTGAACTTGATTGACTTGTGTCTTTTTTCAACTTGACTAACTATGTAACTATGAATTTAAGTTGGGGTGAGCTTTCCCATTTACACCAGATGCGCAACATTTATTGGACATTTTAGATTCATAGCTTAAATTGAATTGTAAACTGGAGCACCCTTTTTTTTCTAACTCGCATCAATTCACATCAACTCAAGCATCTTGTCTAATCTAATGCAAAGGCGGATTATTGCATTGAGTACAAATTCCAATTTTCTGCAACGAAAGCACAAAGAATGCATTTGGTGTGAATGAGCCTTGAGCCATATTGTAATATTTTGTAGGGACTGAAATATATTTTTACTGCTAGTTTGCCTTCAGTTGTTAAACCTGTTAAAGAACTTTGTATAATAAATATTCTCAAGAAGTGTTCATGCCAGCAAAATGTCATTATATTATATATTGTAATATTCTTAGTGCTAAGATGAAATATTGTTGTCATAATAAGAACCAAATATCCATAGGTATCGTAGGCAGATGATGGTTCAACTTTTCTTTCACTAGTTCTCTTTGTAGCACTTCTGTACTAATAAATAGTGTCCATACATGACTATTTACAAAATGTTGATGCTTTTCCAATGTCAGGAAGCTTTATAACCATCCATTATCCTCAGAACATCATCCAAAATGGATGGTCCAAGGTCTAGCTCCAGCCCAAATAGCGACTCATATGGAGTGTCCACAATCTTAGCATCTGTGCTGTCTGGCTTGTCTTCATATTCATCTGTCCCGTGTTCTTGTGTGTACATGTTTCCAGTAATGGAACCCTCAGAAGAACAAGCGGAACTTGTCAAAACCCTGCTGCTCTCCTCCTGTGAGATAGAAGAGAAGGACATTTCTTCTTCTCTATGAAAGCGTCCCTCTCCATAGCTTATAGACATAGAACGTTGGCTTGGGACATCTTCCAGGTGGAGCCTGGGGGGTTTTGGAGGTGCTCTCTCCTTACTTTGGGTACCAGCGAAGACGGGAAGAGAAACTGCATTTTTGAGGAAGGGACGGAAGCTTCCATCACTGTCATGAGGGTGAAACTCCTGGTCAAGGCTGGTGTCCGTGCTCTGCAGGGTCAACTTCCGGCCCAAGTTTGGAAGCAGATCATACTTCCCCTGCAAGAAGGACAGTTCCCCAAACATGTCTTCTTGTCCCTCCAGTCCTATGTGAGCACTATGCCTGAAGTCTCCCAGAGGAGGGCTTATCATCTCCCTTGATAAAACATCCCGTAACTTTGGCTTTTTACCCCGCTTGGGAGTTGAAGTCTTTAAATAAATTGGTGTTTTAGCTGGCATTCTGCACTGATAAGGTTGATGACAAATTAACGTCTTCTAAGTGCCTCCACAACAAGTATCCCCAAAGCAATTAAAGGTATATGATGGACATCATCTTCAGTGGGATAAATATCTTGCTTGAAAACTATTCGTTCTTTAAACCTGAAAGAAAAATGTTCCATATTAATTTGTGAATGTCAGTACATGTATATAATCATATCCCTCTTACATTCTCACAAGCTTTTTTAAAATGGACCTTCCAGTAACGTTACAAGTCTGTGTGAATACATTCCTGACATATATACAATAACATTTTTCAGAAAAGCTATTCCTTTTATTATTAAAAATCAGCCATTGAGCTCCAGTCAAGTGACTTTGCTTAGGTGCTGTCATCAGTCTGTTGCAGGCAAGAGGATACATGCTCTCAGTCTCCTATCCCCTAGTGATTAGACTGCATCATTGTCACTTTGCAGCAAGTCAGAAGGTGAGAGCCTGCTGTAGGGGCTGATCTACGTCAGACATTTGTAAACGTGGCTAAGATCTGCACAGGGATCAAAATTTACATGAATGTGTCATCTCTGAGCATCTCAATTCAGCAAGTAGATGCTGACCCTGAAAAATGCCTAAACATAGGTGGTTCCAGTAGCGGGACTATCACCATAGCGACCCAGGCGGCCGCTATGGGGTCCGGGGCACAGGGGGGCCCAGCCAGGATGAGGGACAAAGGGGTCCCGCTGATGCTGTGAGGGCCGCCTGGGTCGCTGTGGCATCACAGGCTGCTGGCTGTCACCGGCGGCTGTGAGGAGGAACGCGCAGCTGCGAGGAGGATTGCGCCGCTGTTCAGATCACTGACAACCTGTCAGTAATCTGTGCAGTGGAACGTTCCTTCTCACAGCCGCTACTAAGTCAGTGATAGCCAGCAGGTGCAGAGAAGGAGGTTGGGTCCGGCGTCGGCAGCGGAGGAAGAGGCAGGGCCCGGCGGTGGAGGAGGCGGATAGCGGATTGGGACTGACACGTAAGAGGTGTGCAGGGATGTGACCAGCCCACCTGAGACCCTGCAGAGCCCACAATAGCGAGTCTATAGTGGGCTCTGCAGGGTCACTCTCAGGTGGGCTGTTTGGGATCTCAGGTGGGCTCTGGCGTAATTAGAAATCATAGAGCCCCATACAAAATTTTGCTATGGGGCCCTGTGATTTCTAGTTACACCCCTGAATGGTTCTATCTTTCTGCAGAAAAAAAAATCAGATGATGACATTGTCAGGGGGAGCAGGGAGTACCGTGATCTCTATGAGAGATAATAAATACCTGTTTGTTGTATACTTGCACATTATTTAACCCTGTCCATGTGGCAGTGCTGGGATAATGACATAAAGGAGAGTGAGTCAAATATTCTCCATACTATTACCAGTTATTTTCATCACTCCTGGCAGCTTAACAGAGTGGCAGGAAAGCGAAGGGGAGGTATGTGGGTGTTGCTTCTCCTTCAATGGGAAAAGTACAGATTTGTCTAAAAGGCCCAATTAAAAAGCTGGATGTTATTTATAATAAAATTAGAAGCTAAGCACTAAATGTAACATCTTTCAGGTACAGTGAGATTCTAATACAGCTAAGCTGAAACCACCAGCAGCGGGGACATTTACTAGCACTAGGTGACTGTGACCCCTCAAATATCACCAATGCAAGTCTGTGAATACAAAAAGCCAGCACCCAGTTGGAATCCACCTGTAAGGTAAAAGACATCTATGCTGATGCATTTCGGCCAATACTGTCTTCAGCCATAGCATGCTATGACTAAGGCAAGGATTGGCCAAAATGCATCAGTATGGATGGATGCTGGCTTTTTGATTCATGAGCTGTATACACTGTAAGGAAGTGCGGCCATGCATCTTCTGTTGTTGGTTTGGATTATTATGCCTAGCCAGGTAAGCTGATTAATGAGACTAGTGGGCACTGGAAATCTTAAAGTGAACCTGTGCTTTGCAAAAAAAGGACTTTAAGCATGCTGAATATAATTTCCCTGCACTCCCCACTTCCCTGGTCTACCACCATGCCACTGGTCCACAATGCTTATCGGTCAGAACAATAAAAGATGATTGCTCATCAGCTAATAGGAGAAAATGCACATTATATATTGCTTCCTGCCTTATTAAATAAGACTTCAGCTTGTTCCATACAGTCTCAAATCCAACATCACGCAAACAGGAAATGGCCACGGAGGGGGGGCATAGTTTACTGAGCTTCAGAACTATCATACCAGTAAGAATAATCTCCACTTATCAGGGAGGACAGGCAAAGATAAAAATAACGATGGCACACACTGTATTATTAGATTTCCGGGGGAAACCAGGGCTGGCTTTTGGGATTAGCTTCCTTCCCCTTAAACAAACAGGATGGACAAGCCCTCCCAGAGCAAATCACAGAATAATTGCCTGTCACAGTCACTTTCATCCCGATTGCCCAGTGATAGAACTTTCTCTTGTATTGTTGTTGATATTCTGATGAGCTAATTGGCACTGATTAAAGAGGTACAGGACTTCCGAACGGGCTCTAGTAGAGATAGGTACCGGTAAATGAGGTTCTACCCCACCTCCCAATGTATAAATATCCACTATTGTGCTGTATATGTGTTCAGCCATGAACCAATTGATATGCTGCAACTTCATACAAGATTTCTGTCCCTTCCTTGTTGAACTTAAGATGCCAACGTGTCTGTGAAGGTTCTCATTCATCCAGGTCATGGTATATCTGTAAAAAATAAGTCAAGGCAACTGGACTTGTTGTATTTTTCTTGAAGACGTTTCACTGGACATTCGACCAGCTTTTTCTTTGAGAAAGCTGGTCGGATGTCCAGTGAAACGTCGTCAAGAAAAATACAGCAAGTCCAGTTGCCTTGACTTATTATTTACAGATATTTAAGATGCCAACCCAATCCAAGTGTAGAAGAGCTGCCCATGTGTGGCCAGAAAGAACCAAATGAGGCCATTGTACTGCTACTTATAGCCACAGTGTATCACTGATGTAACTAGTGATAAGAAAGATTCCATGATACATTAGCTTTCAGCGCCAGGAGCATAGCAATGGTAGTTTTAGAACAGATCTCCTGGTGTGGAGTCCAACCGAAGGCTCCCAACAATTATATTCACTATAACCTATTCTCAGAAACCCTACCACTAATCCTCACAACAACCCTAAAGCTGACCATACACTATGCATTCTTTTCTCATTCAGTCGCACAAACTGAATGAGAAAAAGCGTTCCACCCATCCACCACATTTAGCCCTGCCAGGCTATTGTATTTCGAGAGTGGCGGGTGTGCTGCTTTCAGAATACTTCTAATTGGCTGCAGTCACTGTTCCGCAGAGAATTGTGAACTGGATCCTTCAACAAAAGTCGATTAAAGAATTTACTTTTATTGAAAAGAGGGGTGCTGACGGGGCCACACACTGCTCGTATTTCGGCCAACTCTGCCTAAGTGTTAAAGCCATTGGGTCAGCATGACAGCCAGGCAACTATAATTTGCTAAGTGAATAGTCAGCAATAGCACCCAGCCTCCATGTCTCTTTTAGGAAAGGTTTCCTTTAAAGGCTAAGTTTACCTTTCTGACCATGTTTCATATTATACTTAAATTTGGGGTGTAACATGAAACATGGTCAGATCGCCACCCTTCTCCTGTCCTCCCACTTACCTGAATTGTGGCGTTCTTCTCCCTGCAGGCTTGTGTACACGTTTGAATTCGGTACAGCTGTGTGTTGCTCCGCCAACAGAGCCCCATCATCCATTCACATTACAAGTCCTATCAGCGACCGTGTCAGAGGGACTTGAAGTTCTCAATGAAATACACCCCACATGTAGTCCATTGACACTGCCTCCTGTCTATGTTACTGAATGTCTGCAGGAGCCAGGGCATTGCATCTGTCATCCACTGAACATGGTTGAAATATTTTACTGGCTCTAATGCAAAAAAAATAAATAAATGCACATTTTTTTCTTTTATAAAGAAGTCTGTATTTATTACACAGTATTGCACAGTACCGCACTCTACATGCAAGGTACAGGCGGAAGTTTCCTTTAAAGCTGAACTCCAGGCAAACAGGTTACTACATTATATGTTGCGGGCGCTGCATAATTTGTAAGTTATTTGTTTTGACCCCACGGTCGATTTTGCTGCAGCCTTCAAACTAAATTGGCACACTAGCACTTATACACTTTTCTAGGTCCAGCGCAGAATCACTTATATCTATAAACAGGTTACCTGCCTGAGATTTACACAGTCCTACCACAAAGCACAGCCTGTCTGGTAGTGAAGAGGACTTCACATTTCTCTGTCGCAGTTTCGCTTTCTCTTATAGGTCTCCTTCCCATCTCCACACTGACTGGAGAGTGAAAGAAGAAGCAGCACATTAATAAGCTCATTCTCTGTCTTTCTGCTCCCCCCCCCCCCCACCACCACCCACA